GAATTAGAAACGTTTGTGAAAAATGCGTTTATTAATCTACCCCTAATCGTTTAATAATGAACTGCTTTCCTTAAAATATGAAATATAAAACCCTTAAAAGAGCTCCATATACCCTGTGCCTCTTCAAATACACTTACGCTCAAGAACCCTTTGGATCACGAAGTATATACCATCCTTATAAACCCCTCAAGAGTTTATGAAAAGGAAAATCAAGGGCAAGGGTTGATTATTCTGCGCTTTTTTTTTACAGTGCAGAAAATCTTTTTACTGATAAAGAATTCACTCTTTTGACAAGCACAGGTAAGATTCACTTTTTCTTCTAGCAAGTTTCATTTCTAAATACAGCTACACATCCATTTCTTCTTTTCGTTATTTTTTCTAAATAGGAGGCCCAAATTATTGACGACAGAATCAAAGTTTTCTTTATCGTAAGAAGAAAAATAAAAAACATACTACAAAAGAATTTAATGGAATTATTGACAAACTTGTACCTATGCTTCATCGTCGTCATGATATACCAGAAAATGCATTAAAAATCAAACAGTTTTCGAATAATCTCATAACGATGTTTAATGATAGATATACAAGTTTATTATCCTATCTTGATACATATCGTAGTCGAAACGAGATGATATTAGTTCATTCAATTAAACGTAAATTACGTCAAACATCCAATATTATACGTGTGACTGATAAGAGTCGAGTTTTTCATGTCGATTCAACTATTCATTATGAAGAAAAAGTAAAACAATATCAAATTAAAACGAATGCCTGTGTAGAACTATCATCAAATCCATTAATGGATACATTCAATAAAGCAGTTCGCTTATTCAATGATCTTCGCGCAAAAGAAAAATTCCAGAATGGCAATATAAAAAAATGATGCCAAAAAAAGACGAAATCAAATTGGCTTATTTATATTTTATACCAAAATCACATAAAGTATGTTCTATTCTTTTTTCTTTTACTAATAAAACACTTGTTATATCTGAACAATAATTATATTCTATTTTCTAGGAAGGTACTCCTTTACGACCTATTGTATCTGGTATTTATGCACCAGCAACAGGAATATCCAAAATGTTAGATAAATTAAAGCGACCTTTATTTGATCAATATGTTAAACAAACAACAATAATCGATGGTGTTCATCTTATTCGTCAACTTCATAAATATGTAAGTTTAGATCTTTTAAAACCTAGTACATATTTATGCACATTTGATATCACCGATCTTTACACCATGTTACCACAAGAAGAAGCAATAGCTATTCTAAAAACATTTCTTCTTCAATTCGGTCATACACATGTTAGACATATGACCATTGATGCTATAGAAAGTTTAGCTCGTATTGTCCTAATAGAAAATGTATTTACTTATAATGATAAATATTATCGACAAATTGAAGGGGGTACAATGGGATCGCCGTTTACTCTAACTTTGGCTAACATATTTATGTGGCATTGGGAACAAAAGTTAGTCGAAAAACAAAAATCATTCAATGAACTATATGGCCGGTAAGTTGATTCTTTTAAAAAATCACATAGTCAAGTATTATATTTCTTTCAATTTCTTTCTCTTTCATAGATATATTGATGATATCTCCATGACATCAAATGATTCCGTTGAATATCTTCGTCAAATGTTAAGCACTGCTAATGAATATCATACAAATATTAAATTAACATCTGAAATTGGTAAATCCTTGTCTTTTCTCGATGTACAAATAGAGAATCGAAATGGACAATTAGTAAAATAAGTCCATCATAAAGATTCTGCTGAACCGTACATTCTACCATTCAAATCTGATCATCCACGTCATTATTTCGGAAATATTACCAGAACCTCTCTTTGTCGAGCTATTCGTTATTCATCCACTTTACAAGAATTTAATTATGAACGCCGATATATTAAATTAATGTTACTCTACAATGGGTATGATGTTCATTTTTTCTTTTAAACGATTAAACTCTCTTTTCTCCATATTCTAGATACCCAGTAAGATATATTCAACATCAATTCGAAAACCTATTTTCGAAACTTTCCATCAAACGACTTCATTTTCACAAATGATTCATGATGAAAATAAATATCTTACAGTACGAGGTGGACTTTTACTGAAAGCAACACCTGGTGAACACGCACGAGCTGCTCGAATTGCAACTGAAATCGATAGAAATAAATCAACAACATGCATTGATCCATCAGTCAATTACAATTAAACAAAAATTAGTTACATCGCGATGATATCAATCCACTGATTATACATTATACATATGAAAATAATTTCGCCCATTACAAATCCACTATTCACAAGCTATGGTACGAATCATTTGGCCGAACAGATATTACAACAACCAAGCTCATAGTTAGAACGAGAAATCATCGTAATCTCAAACGAGAACTACTACGACGAACACCATACCTTGAAAAATCTCGAAAAATACAACACCAAACTAGTTAGCAACAATACAACACCACATGCCTCTACGATCACCATCAACAGAACATTCAAGATATAGTGAATTTTTACTTTTCAAATGTAATCTTCTTCTCACCCTCTTAAGCATTTCGCATAAATCTACTTCCGAAACATCAAATTACAATAAAGAAACACTATAAATAACGTCTCATTCATTCTAGATAAAAATCACTAAACCAACTGCAACTATTGCCTCATGTGAACAACGAAATCTGGATCGTAGTTAGCTTGACTGACTTACTCCGGTAAACGATATCTATCAAGTTCGGTAATTTTCTTTTGAATTTTATCCTACTTTGTGTAGATTATATAACTTATCTATGTTCTTCGTGAACATTTGGATAGCTACGAACGTCATAACTACCTGCCGAGTCCCTTAAGCAAGGACGAAATCTGGATCGTAGTTAGCTTGACTGAAATTCCTTTATTGAAATAAGTTACTATTTATTCGAAAATATAGGTTTTCTTTAATGATCTTTTTGTTTTCTATGTAGTTTGAGATTCTAAAGATACCTGATGATGATCGAATTAAGCCTCGATCGAAATGCGTCCTATTCTACTTTGGATCTATATATTTGAGTGTTTAAAACACCCATACCCACACCCTCAAGGCAGGATCTCGCATTTCCGTTGCGATATTCACATAGAATACATTCGATTGCATCAATATCAAGGTGAATATTTTCATCATTAGACAAGAGCTACAGTATACGAAAAAAAGTCCACTCATCAACATGGTGATTATCATATATCAAAGCACAATGTTGGTTAAAATTGATAGTAACTGGTACTGACTTTTGAAATAATGCTTAAATGTATGCGAGTTTTTTTTATGCATATTTGCCATCGAGTTCGTTCTCCATTAACTATAGAAATAACGAATGGTGTTCTTTTCTACAATCCCATAGTAACGTGCATACAAAAAACGTCACCACTCTCATGAGTATGTTATGGCCTACTGATTCGTGTACATATAAATATGTTAAAAAAATAGTCGTTATTTCTACAATAAATAGAGTGGTCGACCACACGGATACACAACAGAACTCGCATATCAATACATTAATTGGAAAGTAAGTACAACTTATTTTCAATTTTAAGTAATAACAAAAAGCTTTGATACAACATATTCATCATGTTAGCGACTGAAGTAAAATTTCTGTATTGATTCTGCTTTCAATGACGCATTATTATGGACTGCTCCATTGATATCATCCATTTTCATCTGTTAGAAACTGCATAGTGTCTAATGAAAATTTATATAAATGAATGCCACTAAAAGTGTTGACGTCACAGCAACTTCTAAAAAAAAACAGATACTCATAGAGATGAATAGGTTTCGGATATGTAAGAATATCTTCAGCTAACCTACTTCAGAATAGGAACTCAGCGGAGAACATCGAATACATTAAAAAAAGTTGTAGAACGAACAAATTACAGTGAGAAACATAAAGTTGTTCAATTGCAGACAATAAAGATTATTCATCGCATTAGTCGGGTTCTTCATAACTTCATATGTGCATATTTCAATTTAAAAAGACATTTAAAATCATTTTGTAACTATATAGGACACTAATGTCTTCTTTAAAAATCTTTAGACAACATGCACTCAGATTAAAAGCTCACCTAGTGATTGAGAAAGAATGAAGATGCATACATATGGAGCAAAATTGACCTATCTGAATTCTTTTTCGATCAACTTTATTGACCTACATATATCAACCATAAGAGAATAGTAGGTGCTTTACATGACATGAACTTGATCAACCGATAAATGCTATTAAAACATTGGCTTTGGTTTTATATTTCGAAAAATATACTAATAACACGATGAAAATTATCCAATTTAGTCGAGCAAGAGTGAAGATATCTAATTTTCTTTTTGGTAGATGAATCACCTGACACCCTTTGTTAAAATCAGATCTATAGGTTTTCGTCTGTATCAAATAATATTAAAAAAGAAACAACATATAAGTTATTAGCGCAATTGAATATTAGAATAATATTTTTATAATTAATCGAAGGTTATAGTATAAATCCTTCGCAATAAAAATATTTTTATGTCCTTGTAGTGATAGATCGATTAATATATGTAATGACTAACACGGTAAATTAATGTCTCACCAATTATGATTCATTGAGTAAAAATAGATTCTGTTCTATACTAAATTACCAATAACATAACGAGTGAAAATTGCGACAGAAAAAAAATGTTTCTGTTGATAAGACGAACGAAAAGCTCATTGATTCTTTCGAACTCATACAATAGAAGTAATGTTTTCATGAAATGACTTATTTGTTGAGCGATGCATTTCAAGCACATCATTGATACGTTCGTTTTATCATTTATGATATGTTGTGTTTGGAAGACTTGATCACCTATTCATAAGTAATAAGACAGCAATTCTAAACAAGGCACACCCATTGGTTTGAGAATCTTCCTCCCAAGGTAGAAACATGTGACTTATGATTTTATGCGCTAGTTTTGATTTTCAGATGATTTAAATCAATTGTTTTCGCTTTGATTCCTGTACTAAGCAATACGGTTAATTTCGCAAAACGTCACATAGTTTTCTTGGATTTTTGACTAAAACGAAGTCATATTTATATATATATATTAATATAACATGGTAACGCGACATTAGCGTCGCCAACCCTCTACTGAAAGGATTTGGTCATGCGAAACATAGCTATCCAAAACTATTTAGTTGAGAGACTTCACATTTTATAGCTTCGAAATGATTTTCGTCAAAAACATCATTGATAACCGAGCATAAATATGAAACTTGCTTGGAAGTATCACCAAGAAAACGGCATTTAAGTAGTACTTACTAATACTATATGAAAATGACGATGTTAAGTGCATCCGATCAGCTACAGCTCAAGCTATGCTCCGAAAACTTTCGATCAGTTTGATAACGGAGTAAAGAAAAAGACCCATTCAGGAGAGCGATGATGGAAATACCCCATTTTAGTAAAGTTACAACCCAAGTTGGTCTATAAACTAGATATTTAACATGAATCTGCACGAGTAGATCAGAGATTATATCAAAGTGACTTTTTCTAACTCGATTTCGGTTAGATTTGTCCTAATTTTCGCTCCACCTCATCTGGGTTCATTTTGTTTCGGTTCGTTTCCCGTCTAGGATGGATATATTCATTCTTGGGTGCACGTTCACAGATAGATAAATCTATGATTTACATCTTTTGAATCAAGTCCACTTGCAATCAGGATAAACTAAACTTATTAAGATAATCACGACAAATATAAGTTTCAAATATTTCACACGAGTGAAGCGATTATTTCACAACCTGCCTATGGAACAAATTCAAGATGTCTCCTATTCACGAAAATTGTTTCCACTTTTCTGATCGACACAACGTGTAACTATTCTATAAGTCTGCAAGGCCTGTAGTCTTCTAATCACAACAGATTTTTAACTAGTGCGGGCGGCTAGTCATTCGTCGGCGCGCCTCTGGGGCGCCACTCACGACTACCCACACCCACTTGTTTTGTCTCATATATGAAGTGAAGGTGATCCTTTTAAACACTGCATTGTTGATTGAAAGCTTCGCCTCATTCTATAATTATTAAATAAAAACGAAGAAAATTTTCAAAAAAACCCGAAAACAACAGTTGTAGAACTAATTTAATCCAGTTTCATCTGCATATGCGATGAATTCATCAAAATTTCGAGAAGAATGAGACAGGATTCCAGAGTACTTATCCAGTTTGCGTCCATTCGTAGATAAGCTAATCTAGAGTTCTAGGAGTTAAGTTTGAATAAATTCTTCGTGCTGCAAGAAAAGTTATCATATCAAGAATAAACTGAAGACTTTGAACAAAAGCTTTCAAAGTCTCAATGCAGGTGAGCGGCTAGTCGTTCGTCGGTGCCCCTGCGGAGCGCCACTCACGGCTAGTCGCTCCCAAATTGAGAATCAATTCCACCGCACGATGGCTATTCGTAATGAAATCTCACATATTCATACGATACATCTAACACTATATTCATCATTGAATGGTACCCTCAAATAATTTCCCTACAGAGAATTCCTGTCAAGAAAATCTGACGTTCTAAACAGCTCGTAATCTATTATAAACATGCTTGAACTTCATAACTTTAAAAAAAACTAACAACACCATCGTGTTCAGTGACCCTGATTTCCCTCGGTCAATCCTTTCCCTGAAGGATATTGTTTTCGGTTAGTTAAGTTTATGCATCTGCTTTCCTATTGGACGAACGAACGAACGAACGCCTTTAACTCACTTTTCGTAAGACCCTTCTTTCAGTAGAGGGAATATAAACATTAGCTTTGTTTGTTAACACGATTGAAACCAAAAACTGTTCAAAATGAAATATTTTGTCCAAAAAACTTAATATTATTGTGTACTACAAAGTAACTGCTCAGGTCGAGGTTCACGGAGGTCTTGTACGATCGTAAAACATCATGGTCGTATATATGTCTCGTATACGGGATATATAAACGATCGTGTATGTTCGAGTGTGGGTGATTATTGCAATTTTTTTCACTCTAGAAACGAATTGGAAAGAGTAATCATTATGGCTAATTTTGGATATCCAACACCAAATTACTTGCCACAAAATGTTGCACAGCATGAGCAATCGAGCAAGAAGTCAACGTCTCGACCTGCACAGGCAGATGACATAGAAGCAGTGGAGCATAAGAAAGAAGACGAAAATTTACGAGAAAAACGCTTTTTGGGTGCTCCTATTATTTCGAAATCTTCAACCAGTGGTCATTTTGGTTCTACATCTCCGTTTTTTGCTGAAATAAAAAGATGCCTGAACCTGAAATTAGATGGTGTACCTTCGAAAAATCCAACACTGATACCAATGATGGTTGAGAAAGCTGCTGAAGGAATTATCGAAGAAGGAAAACAAATAGGAAAAGAACGAAGAGCTGAAAAAATAGCATCAGCACTCAGAGAAAAGAAGGACGCAGGAATGGAAGAAGTATGGAAACAATGTGTTTATCTCTATACATCGGAGAATTTCTTATACGAATCATTAAATTCAATGATGAAATCAGTAGGAGACAAAGAACAAGAAAAGATATGGAAAAACAAAGTACCTATATTAGGTCCATTTTGTTTATTATTAATGGATAATCCATTTAAGAAAGAAACAAATGAAAAAAATATAATTTATCGAGGTGCGAATATGGTTGCTGAACAAATCGGCCAATATGAAGAAATGGCTAAAGATAAAAATTCATATAAATCATTTCAAGTGTATACATCTTGTACACGTAGTCGTAAAAAAGCAAAGGCGTTGGGAAATACTTTATTTATAATGGAAGTTTTGACTGGTTCTGTTATTGATTTAAGTCCATATTCGAAATATCCAAAAGAAGAAGAAGAACTTATCCCACCTGGTGTTTGTTTTCATGTTAAAAGTGCTGAATTCGATCGAAAAAAAAACAGATATACGATCAATTTGGAATTACAAAAAAAGATTTCTAGTAAGTAAGAAAAATCTTTGATGATGTGAGAATATTTTACGAGATCCATATTCATTTGACAAATGTAAGACATATCGATTAGAAACGTTTAATTCCCACACGAAAAATGATTTAATCAAATGTAATTTTACACTTAATAAGCGACAGGTTTTTAATTTGGTGGCTCATTAGACTATATACATGTAACGAATTTTGTTTGATGATAAATGGATAGTTTATATTCGTCACTGCTGCAGCTTTTATTTTATTTGTGATCACAAAGAGAAACTGGAAGAGTAGGGTTACCGCTATCCTCGGTGTATATGTCGTAGGCCAATCTCGGATTCAGGCCATTCTAAGATTCTAGTTTGGACTAGTCCAATCTTGGATTGATGCAATTCTATTCATTAATATATCAATAACTTTTTAGATGAACTTTGGATTTGAGTCATTTTTTGAAATTATGTTCNCATACGGATAATATTTAGAAGCAGATCAGATACATTAATGATAGTAGTAGGTTATACAACGTCCATTGAGAATAACACATTCTATAACACTGATGAGAAAGTAATAGTCCTGTCTGCACGACAGTCCCAAAGAGTAATTAACAAAAATGGACACCAAATATGTGAACAATAAAGGATGTCCATGCATTATTGGCACAATACATGTCTAGATTCACATTTCAACTTATGGATTAAAATAAATCTTCTCGTGATAGTTCAATATCACACATACACTTTGATATTTATTTTCTTGGTTTTGTATTTTATTTACTTACGTTTACATAAGTAATCGAATAAGTTACCGTCTAATTAGTTTAATGTTGATTCATTCATTTCAGTGCTTTTGTTAATTTACATTACTAACTATGGAAATTCTCTGGTCTTGAAGTGAACAATTAGAAAAGAATGAAAACATGGGAATCTATAATCAGATTTTAGGATACACGCATTTAGACCACCATATTTTCCAGTACCAATAACGGATTCTATGGAACCGATATATATCTTTCGAAGACAATTATGAGTGAAACTAATTCAACTTTTTCACCTCTGACAACCTCAACAATGAGTATATGCTAATATTATTTACTTAATATAGCAATGCTGGTTATCTCCTATAAAGAAAAGAAAATGTTTTCCCGTTTCGCGACGATTAGTCGGAAAAACAATTAGTCGACCCTCTTGAAAATCAGTTTTTCAGATCATTCGCTGGGTTGACTTTCTTTCGGATGTCTAGAAATTTTCAAGTATTTAATTAGCTGAAAACATTCCATAACAAGTTTCATATAGATAGGGTATAGAGAGTGTTCGTATGAATCAATAGAATTTATTTTGATTTAAAAATACCTCTAGATGAATATTACTGTGACAAATATCAGTCGGATTCATTTCTGGTTTATGTCCTAACGATCATATAGAATATAATAATAATTTAGAAAAATAATGCTATATTTTCGTATTATTTTTATGCGTGCACAAAACTAAAATTGGTTTCCTAAGTTCGAAATTCTTTTTCCGTCGTTCATAATAAAACCGGATTTGTTAAACAGTATGTGCAGTAGAAAAATAACTACTTACCTCACGTGGTATTAAAATCTTACTTAGAAAAGAGAGAAATATTGTCTTTATTTTGTGTTTTAAACTCGTTTCTCTTTTAAAATAGAAATAAAACGAAAACCATTTGGTTCTGATGCATGCCTTATTATGTTATTTTATTCTTTGTACAAACCTACTTAAAATATATTGCTTTTCTCATAGTCTATTAATGTTACTATTATTATTATGGGTCATATATATACTATTAACTTTGATCGTTACTTGATGAGCAGAAGTTTAAGTAAATAAATTGCATGGCAAAGAATATGAAAAAGATACGTCGAGAATTTTGTACACTTCAACGAACTCGTATAGTAACGTTTATCTTAGCATAATTGTGATGATATTTTTATATTATTTATTTTCATTATTTCTTCTACTATTATCTATGTCTTTCAGGTTCGTTAGTATCTTCTCTTTTGTTTTTTTCGATTACATATCTGAGCGTATCTGCTCTGAACGAAAACAATATGATCCTTAAGATGACGAAATAAGACAAGACATAATTTTGTCAACAGTATTTGTGCCCTTACGGAAGATGCTTGAAAAGAAATAGTGCTGCATTAAGTCGTCCATTTTTTCAGTTTTAGAGAAAGCAGCGATACCAGTAGCGTTGTCAACAGTTGCAAAGAAGCATATATTCTTTGCCTATGCAAAAGACGACGAGTCTGGTGCACCAATAGTGAAAAAATTGAAAGATCACTTCATTCAACGACGATTTAGAGTTTATCATCCGAGACAAAATGAAGATGTTAATACCAAAATTGCAGATGGTATTGAAAAAGCTGCTGCAGTTTTAGTTTTTCCGTCGCTCGCGTTAGAAACGTCAAAACCTGGATTAAAACTATTGAATTATGCTGATCAAACTAAAACACCAATTATAAATATTAAGATTTGTGAAGATTTTCAACCTATGGCTTGGTTGGGTGCTATTTTAGCTCCTGCAAAGAGTTGCTCAACTGATTTTGATGAAGTTATACAAACTATGATTTCAATGGGAATCAAAACTGGCGATCTTGTTCTTGAAAGAGGTGAAAAAAATGAACCCCAGCCAATACAGGAGTATCTATTTCAGGGTGAAACCAATTCGGGAAATCTAAAGGCTAGTTATTATCAATCTGACAAAGAGTTTCCGATGAAATTTAAGGTATTTAATAAATTGAAGTGAAAAAAGCAAGTATGACTATGTAATTTAAACTATTTTTCTTAGTTTTTGGGTTTGAAAGATAGGAAAGTATTCGGGCAAGGAGATGATAAAGATGGAGTTTTTACTCTGGCTGGCGAATACAAAATCGAAAATATGCTTGGTGTTATCGAAATGAAAAAAGAATATGTTGGCAAACCTCCTGTTACATATAAAGGAAACATGTTATTTCAAGAATTAAATTGTACGATAGAAGGACAATGGAAGATGGACGACGTATCTGATAAATTTGTCATGCATTTGACTCTTCCAAAATCATATACTACGCATATGGAAACGATGGCACCACCAAAAATTTCACGAAAACAGGGAACTAAAGTTATGATATCTTATTGTCCATGTCAAGTTGATTTAGCTCAAAAGATAACTAAAGGACTCATTGCAAAGGGTATTCCAGCTGTTTGCCCACCAATGAATGTTCGTGAAATGATAAAAACAGCAGTCCAAAAGGCAAGAGTAGTCGTACCATTAATGAGTAAAGCATATGAAGCATCGAACACGGCCAAGCATGTTCTATCATACGTTGATGAAGCAGGTATTCCAATCGTTCCTGTAAAAGCACAAAATCCTTACTCGCAAAGTGGTTGGCTTGGTGTCATTTGTGCTGGTGCATTATGGACACAAATGACGAATGCTAATGAATTTGAAAAGACGCTTGATGATCTTATAAAACAATTACAACCATATATGATTGACTGTGATAATCAAGAAGAACAAAATAATGTCCTTGTTGATGAAGAGTTTATCGAAGGTTATTATATGGAGTCAGGAGAAGAAATTCCTTTCGATTTTGACATGTTTTCTTTGATAAACGGATATATTGCCGGAGAAGGAGAAGATGACGTTGGTAGCTTTGTAATTAATGGTGAATATTATAGCTCATCGGATACAGAAGATTTAAAATTTGAATTTGAAAAGCAGTATATCGAAAAATATTCTATCCAATATTTTGGAATTATTACCGAAGAAGATTCTGTTTTGTTCTTCGATGGAAGATGGTCTCGAGGCGACTTATCTGATATCTTTCATTTAGAAGCACCTACTTTTGAACCAACGGAATCAGAAAAGTTCCACATTATGTTAAGCTACAATTGGAGTCATCAACAGAAAGTTAAGAAAATAGCAAATAAGCTCAAAGAGAAGAAAATTCCGATTTGGTTTGACATTGATGGAGATATGAAAGGCAATATCAATTCTGCTATGGCTAATGGTGTCGAAGGTGCTGCGATGATTATCAGTTTCAATACTGTTGCTTATAGTAAAAGTATTAATTGTCAAAAAGAATTTACGTATGCTACGCAATTGAAGAAAACTATTCTACCTGTTCTTCTTGAAAATGAGAAGAGTTTTCAGGATACTTGGTTAGGAAAAGCAATAGAGTCTTTGGAAAAAGTGAATATGGAAAATGAAAGTGAATTTGATTCCAGTTTTGATGTTATTTTACAACATATTGAAAAAGCTTGTGAAGAGAAAGTAAAAGAAGATGACGATGAAACTGAAGTTATTACACGCTTTGAGGGTGGTGCTGTTCACGGAGAATACTATGAACGTGACCAATCGTTTGATATGACTTTTGACTTCTTTAGCTTAATAGAAGGAAGCGTTGCAGGTCAAGGCAGTAGTAACGATATAGCTTTTACAATAACTGGAGACTATGATAATGAAGGAAATGTTAGTTTCACAAAGCAGTACGTTGGAAAACACGCTGTTGAATATGAAGGAATACTTCATTGCGATGAATTTGGCGGATTTAAAATCGAAGGAAAATGGTATACTAATAATGCAACAGGTGACTTTTACGTAGAAAGTATTGATGATACCAATGATGATACCAATGATGATACCAATGATGATACAACGAGTAACACCAGTTAATTACTGGTAATAGCACATAAACAATTTAAACTTTTTATCATTTTATTTTTCATTTACAAGCGATTTATTTGTATTCTAATTGATTTATAATTCATAGTTTAGCATCAATTAGAAGCTTTCATTCTTAAAATAAATAAATAAATATGCTCTAATAATGGTACACCATTAGATAGAAACTCGAATTTTACTTAACTCCGGCATGACCATCTGAGATCCATGCGAACCCCCATGGACTTGTTTTTAGTGTTGCATAGGCACAACAATAGATCACGTTACTCTCATGTACTCAGGCCAATCAAAAAGTAAGGGTAAGTCAGAGCTGCCGGTCTGGTCTGACTGAGAAATTCGGGTGTGAGTGTGGGTATGATCATGTCACAGAGACACCCACACCCCGACCCTATTTAACGAGCCTATAACCCTTTCTTTCAGAAAAGGGAACAATATCGAATATAAATATTTTACCAAATGAAGATTTTTTGATAAAAATAGCAAAATATTGCTGAAAAACTTTTCTGCAAAAAATTCAATTCTACAAAATTCTGAAAACGTCATTCTACGTATTTTGATCTGCTCTTTTTAATGAGACTTGTCTTTATTAATTATACGGCACTGATTCGACCAATTGGTCCTATACACATTGGATATGTTATAATAAATGGTATATAGTACCAAGGAAATATTATCTGAGAGTAAGATACTTTTCATACAACCAAAAGATAGCCGTCATTGATAGTATATATGGTAAAAAAATCTCGGTTATATCTCTTATCGTTCTCTGGAAAATGAAAATTTACTCACAATTAATGCTCTGAAAGATATACTAAATATAGCCTATCTATTCATATTTGTAACGCTCATATCGCAAGAATGGCTCATCCGTTTGAGCTGAAATTTCGGTTTTTTCCTAACTCTATGTGGGCTATCGATTGTAAAAATATCAGCCAAATCGGTGATATCGATTGAGCAAGGTTTTGCATAAGATGGTCGTGGCTTATGTGCAATGTCTCTTAAGCAAGGTTCGAAACGGATGTTTTGGTTCTTTAAATCTATTTCTTGAAATTCACTCACCCACCCCCACCCACACCCTCAAGATATTCAATGTAATAATCTAACAAACACTAAGGAATCTCTAAATCTTATTGAAACGCAAAGTAATACTTTCCACTCCTAGCTGAATCTCTTGTAGTTCTCAACTATATAAACTTTCATATTGTTTCAATCATAAATTTTCATCGAATGTTTTCTTTATCTTTAGAATATTAAGCAGCATGAATAGCCTCGTCCATTTTTTTGACGTGATCGGCGTGCATCGATTCATTTTTCATTTGGGTTGTTCGTTGATTCCATCACTTGTGTTTGCTGCCATAAAAAAACAAAAGACAAAAATTCAATCGACACAATAACACGATGGGAAATTTTCTTTCGTGCTTATTCAGTAGTTCATCGAAACGCTCATGTCGTGGTTTACAACCATCAATCAATGAAAGCAATCAACGAACAGACGCAGGTTCAAATCTGCGCTCGACTCCATCTCGAGACAATCTCTCAACATATCAAATCAATCCAAGAGAACTTGAAAAATATAAACTACACAAAGCATCATGGGAGGGCAAGCTTCATAAAGTAGAGCGTCTTGCTCGTCCAGGTGTAATCGATCTTCAAGACCAACAACTCAGAGTAAATTATTTGTTATTTTTTCCGTGATAGAAATTGTTTTTTTTCTCTTCGTTTAAATAGACTCCATTGCATTTGGCTGTTGCCAGAGGACATTTGAATGTGGTACATCGTCTTGTTAATGAAGGTGCAAGATTAAATATCGTTGATAAACAGCAACGAACACCCTTAGTCACGGCTGTTATTAGTTAGTACTCAAAATCCATCATTATTTTATCAAATTTGTGTGGTTTTATTGCAAGGTGGAGCTGATGCTTGTAAGAATATTCATAATGATCTTCATAAAAACTACATGTTCAGTTTTTCGTTCTCTAGTTATTAATGCTGTGGATATTCAGGGAAAAAATGCTTTACACTATGCAATTGATATTCAAAATGAACATCTTGTTGATCTCTTTCTATCATTGCAACATTGTGATCCAAATTTTCGAGATCGTGATCAAATGACACCATTACATTTAGCAGTCCAAGTAAATAATCCTACGCTCATTCAAATCCTTTTATCTGAAAATCATGAAACTCAAGCTGATCCAAATTTACCAAATAGAAATAGACAAACACCATTACATATGGCAGCTAGCCTCGGTTATATGGACATAATTCGTACTTTACTTCAGTCGGATCTTCCCGAACCTTGCGATCCATCAATTCTCGATGGTAGACAATTGACTGCATATCAATTGGCTCTAGAAAATCATCATGAATCATGTGCTAAATTAATCGATGAATATCAACAAAGTTTGACAAAACTTTCATCTCGAAGAGAAATGTCTGAATCAATTAATGAAAAAGAAATAAATCCTGTTATGAATCCATGAATTGATTTCATCTGGTAAATTATGTTTTTGAAATAGTGACCTTGACTGAAATCAATGAAAAACCATCACAGTTTTATTTCTTACATGAATATACATGTCGTTAGCTGAGGGTGTGAGTGTGGGTGAGAGGGCTCTTTGAATGACTTCACCCTCACCGAAAGTTCCGAATTATATGTCAAAATAACTGAAAAGGATTTCTTAACATTATTATTAAAACTTATGTTAAGATATCATTTTCTACGTTTTTGACATATAATCTTGAACTTTGGGTTAGACAAATGCAGCATCAGTGAAAAACAATACCATACTTAGAATCAGCATTAAAAACTGACGCGGCTTTCCAATATTTCGATTTTTTTGTGAACTTTGGTTAGTGTAAAAATTCACCTGTGGTGTCCATCAGGGTTCTAAGAAAAAATGTTTTTCTTCCAATTTTTTAACGGATTAATTTCAGCCACTAATTTTACTATATTTGAGATATTCACAGTTGACTTCACAAACCGATATAAGGTTTCATTGAACTCCCATAGAAACAGCCAGGGACTTTCCCTCGTTAGAGTGAAATATCCACAGGTACTGTATTATTCACAATACAGCACTGATGTGCACTCTGTTTCAGATTCCGATTAGAAATGGTGATTGTTAGACATTAAGAAGTGTGCTTAATCTTTTACAAATAGCACCAAAATTCTTCAACAATTGTGAATCACTCGCAGGAGTTTGAAGAACCAACACCGCCATTATTTTTGTGTTTGATTTCAAAAAATGAATTAGGAGCACTTACTCTTGTTTCTATTCGCTCCAATTGTTAAATCTGAACAATTTAAATGTTTTTCTTCAATAGACAACAATTCTGCGAACTTGAATATGTCTTTCTTTGCTGCGAAATGAAGTACGGGAGTGAATAACAATTTACTGTTTTTTTAATGAAGTGTTGTTTTTTGGCTTCTCCGAACGTAACTATTGCATTGCTCTTTACTTATAACATGCAAGAATGGGTGTGGGTGTGCGTATTGGAGGATGGGCAGTCTTCCACCCACAGCAGTCCGTTACGTGCTTGATGAAAACAAAACGTTGCCTATTGATCCCTGTCTCTCACTGGTTAGTTTTTTTCATTGATGTAAAACAAAGAGGATCCATTCATCACTGATCACTGCAACAAAAAGTGTGTTTGTCACATTTTTATGCAGTTCTCTTGCTTTCACTTAGATTCACAACTAGTGTATTCGCACAATCGTTTTCATTTTCTTTCGTTCTTATACATTATTTGACGGAAAGTGCCATTATACTATTTGTTTTCACTCTATGCAGCCAGATAAACGTCTGAAAACAATGTGTTTTAACGAGTTACAATATTTGAGAGTTAAAATAAGTACATCCTTTTTTGATTTATGTGTCTTTATCCGTTAGCAACTTTAATTTCAGGAGAATTTTCGCGGTTTTTTTCTTAACAGTTTTTATTAAGTGCAAATTTTACTATTATTTGATCTACGAACAGGTCTTTGTATTCAGCAAGTGTGTGGGTGTGTGAGTAAGAATCTCTCGTGTTTTTCTGCACACCCCGAATATTCTCAAGCGACGAAAAAATTATTTCTTTTCCTCGAACGTACGTTAAGAATATTTTGGATTTTTCCTTTTTGTAAATAATCTACCTTGTGCTATGAAGTGTCTGACGTGCCTGTCGCAATATCGAGAGACATCACCTGAGCGACTCATAGTCATGCAGCCATACAAAAAACAGCTGTTCTGTTGTCGTTTTATTCATTCATTGGCATAAAATTTTCTGACTGTTTATTACCTTTGTCTATTACATTCACTCGCACTTCGCATTAATCAACATGCAAATCTCCGTGAAAACTCTGAACGGTACGACATTCACACTGGAAATGACAGGCAAGGACACCATTGACAAAGTGAAAACCAAGATCCAGGAAATGGAACACATTCCACGTGAGCAACAACATTTAATGAACTCCGGTAAATATCTCCAAGATGATAATACACTCAACTACTACAACATCCAACAGGGAAGCATTGTTCATTTACGCTTCTCACATTCGAACCAAGGGCTATCCAGTGATCAGTTACACAAATATACAAGATCTCCTTAAAGCGTTCTAGGAAAAGAAGAAAATGCATAAATAAAAAGGTTTAAATTTTGCACCTGCATGAAAAATTTCAGGAAACTAATACAAAACTGAAGCAACTCAAAAATGCTATTAAACTCATTAAACCGCAGTGATTTACCAAAAAGGCCCTAGAAGTATTTCTTTAATTCAACTACATTTCAATGCCATTTTCCAACAAAAATCGACTTCAAGGTATTTTTCTTTAAAATACGTATTTTACGATGAAAATGCAGCTTACGAGAGCTGTACCACACAGAAAGGCTTTCCAATACCTTACTACACTACAATCCATTCGTTTGAATTGAAAGACGACTATGCTTGGAAAAAAATACATGGCACATCTTTAAAGATGTTGTTGATGATCCGACATCTCTGTCACAGAGCTTGTAGAAAAATATGAATAGAATTGTGTGGAAGAAAGCGAGTTGCAATGTTCGTGTGGATGGATATTGTTCTTTTATGGTTAAAAGCTGTTGAATCTTTTACTATATTGATGTAATTGCTTTGAAAGTCATTTTTTGGCGATCATTGTTGGTTGGTTCGTATGAGTGGAAATTTAGATGGATTTGCTCATTTTAAATGGTTGAATGGGTTTTTTAGGGTCACGCGAAAAAAAGATCTTCTTTTTGGAAGACTGGTAACGGTTATTCAAGTAAAAAACGGTAGACTTCATGATTTCATACGGCTGGAGTCTACCGTTTCTTGAGAGTACGAGCTTTAACTTTATTGTTGACCTTTTATCTCAAGCAACGAAACAATCATACGCATTTTATTTCATATAATCGTCCTTTAGTCAACGGAATAATAATCCCCGGTCCAAATCATGATACACTGATCAATCTAACAATTAATTATCTATACCCAAACGACATATCACTTGACACCAAAAAAATCAATGATAACTGTAACAACATACAAAACTATTCTATGAAAGGCGACATCGATCTTTAAATCGTTATCTATGAAAATTGTGATAACTAAAAATATCATCCGGTCTAATCACGCATACTTTTTTAACGCAAGACTAAATAAGGATAAAATTAACTTTCAAATCACCCTATCGGCGCCGGAAGCGCTGTGTCAATACGTCATCTCTTCTCCCATAATTTCTAGTATTTTCAAAACTTTCTTTTAATTTTTTCCGTCGAATGCATGTAGAGATATTTCCTACTTGATATCATTTCTTTCAAAATTCAATTATACGACTTTCCATTGTCACAACTGCGCGCACCCTTCAAGTATTTGTTTAAAAGATACAATCTATATTGTATAGTGTCAATATTTTCAAGCATTTTACATTTCATTCAACTTATATAGATTCATCAATCGTATAGAAGTATACAGCTTGATAAGATCGGGATAAAACCGAAATTTCCTTACAATCATTTCAAAAATTTACGAAAATTCTTTGATATTTATAGATAAAGTAGTTTATTTATGAACTCTGGATAATCTCGAATAACTACAAGGTAAAGCTATCTGATGAAATCCTTAAGCAAGGTAGAAACGCGTCGTAATTTGCTCCAGATACACATTCAATTCTTGCTTGTTTCCTATCAATACTTTTTTTTAAGGGTAGCTGTCATAGAAACGAACGTGCAAGAGGAAAGAAAAAATCGACATGTGCACTATTTATTTTCAATTACGTATATCTGGTATGCGCCACGAGTAAAAAAGTTAAGTCCACCACATCGAACATGCGTGAATCGCAAAAGATATGTATAGTTTTCAATTGGAAATTCCGAGGGGTACGATGCAGGGTAGACCAAACAAACTAGATAGCCGAGCAGTCTTACGTTGCACCCGAGCAACCAACAAAAAAAGACTTGATTCTTTATTTAAGGATGAATAGAATACTGGAAACATCCAACTACAAGTGATTTATACACAATTTAACACTATCAATACATCGACAAATACGACGAGCAGTGAAAGTACAGTAAGTTTAATCAGTAATCGAATTATGCAATCATTTCGCTCTTCTTCACGTAAGTACAAACTTTCTTTTTTCTTCTCTCCACTATTGCTTTGCGTGTGTGTGTGTTTAGATGAGCTATTGAATGTTCATATTTTTGCGTTATTGGACGATGAACAAAAAGGAAAAGATAAAATCAAAGCTAACCAATTTGGTGGTGTTCCAGGTGTTACTGCTATGATTATTGTAAATAGTATAGTATACGTAAATAAACTAATCTCCTTTGTTTTTACAGGGTTTACCATTATCTTTATTCTATTTATCATATTGCTTAACACAAAATCACGATAGTGGCACACTCTTAAATCCATTTACTATTGAGTTTTATCATTATATTATTGGTATACATATACAATTAATTACGACCCATTATCATATAATACTTATATTAGTTTGCTATCTATTATTTCAAGCTTCATTAGCTATCATGTTGCCAAGTCGTATTGTATCAGGTACTCCTGTTGGTGTTAATCAAGATGGTAGTATTAAGCGTTTAGATTATAAACTGAATGGTTTGATGGCGTATTTATTAACATTCATTGCTTATTATATAATATGTTATCATTATCATACGATACCTTCAACATTTCTAGCTGATAATTTTACATTACTTTTAGTAGCATCGAATATATTATCATTTATTATTGCTATTGGTGTGTCGATATTAGCCTATCAGCAAAATAATTATCAATTTATTAGTCAAAATTTGATGTATGATTTTTGGATGGGTTACAGTCGAAATCCAAGATTATATAATTTTGATTTAAAATTTTTTTTCGAAGGCCGCCCTGGTTTAATGTTATGGATTTTATTGAATATTTCTTTTATTGAAAAACAAAAACAAAATTTTGATGGTCATTATTCATTATCTATTATCATAATTAACATATTTCAAATATTATTTGTAACGGATTATTATTACTTTGAAGAAGCTATATTAACAACATGGGATATAATGGAAGAAAAATTCGGTTTAATGATGATATGGGTAAGAAGAAAATAAATCGTCTATGTTAGAGTTCTGAAGGCTATAGATAGAAGTGTTTTATTATTTTAGGGCGATATTGTATTTGTACCATTCTTTTTTTCAATTCAAATCCATTATTTATCTTTACATTCACCATCTATACAAATATTATCAACATCATATTTAGTATTTTGTTTATGTTTATGTATTAGTGGTTTCTTATTGTTTCGAATTGCTAACTTACAAAAGCATCATTTTAGTCATGATTCATCATATGTTTTGGGACTATCTTGCTATAATTATTTTCTTAAACGACTTTTTGGTATGAATCGTTGTAATATGCCAAAATATATTCAAACAAAACGTGGACCAAAAATATTATATTCCGGCTGTTGGGGTATTGCAAGACGTATGAATTTAACAGGTGATATATTACAAAGTATTGGCTGGTGTTTATTATGTTCATTTAATCATTTCATACCGTATACATATATTATCTACTTAACAGTTTGTTTTATGCATCGCGAAAGAAGAGATAATGAAGTTTGCCAAAGAAAATTTGGATCAGATTGGAACAGATATACTAATATTGTACAATGGCGTTTTTTTCCAAATATTTATTAAGAGTATAGGATTACGAATCAAGCACATAAATCAATTAAAAAAATTATAAAGAATGCATTTCTCATTATTAATTCGCCTATGCTTTTCTGTAGGTTGACACCGATTAGATTGCATCTAAGATTCAGTTTTATAAGTGTCTATTGAGTGGAAACAAAATAGCGTTAGAACATAGGTGAGATATGAAGTACTCACTGTGTTACTTTTCAATGTATCGACCAGATGCTGTCTACCAATGACTCCAATTGCATTGAGCTACAGACACAATGATTGTGAAGTGTCTGTATAACTTACTTTGTTGTATTTTAATACATCTGTCAAGTAAATAGCCCATTGGCCATCGATTTTATTGTTTCGAAGGTTCAATATTGTGAGTGCCTTGAAAGACGAGAAAGGATATAGTCTGTGGGGTAATCGGGAGTCTTATCCTATACTGTATTGGTTCGTAATGCACCGACAAAGTTTATAGCACCACTGTCTTCAATCTGATTCCCACCAATATTCAGTGTTGCAAGTGTCTATGTGAAAATGATGGCATGAATATGGAATATGATGAAGAATTTCAAAGGGCTACATTATGGTCTTGTAATACAACTGAAAGACGACGAGCTCCATTATTTCCTATTTGATTTTGCTGAAGGATCTGCGTTGTAATTGTCTAACCATAGGTGAAAAATACAGAAAAGAGTATTAGTGAGGTAGAAGAGGGTGTGGGTGTGTAGAGAAACAAAAGAGAATCTTACTCACACACCCACCCCCTTGATAGTAAGTCAATTATATGCGAACGAAAAGCTTTATCTTTCAGTTCGAGTGTAAACGAACTATCTCACATTCATCAAAACCATTTATTGAGAAAATTTCTTCATATAAGAAAAACAGCAGTGGCAGAATTCTGTATTCCTTGTTATTAGTTGACAAGCAAAGTTCTAGTAAAATTCTGCTGTGAATACAGAACTCTTACATTCTGGTTGTGAGAATTTTGCCACCCCTCGCGTTAGTCTTTAGCTCGATTTGTTTCGTAGATATCATTGTATCGAGTGAATTGAGGCCGCATTTGACAATAATGATATTTCCATTGTATTTTGTGATTCTGTAGTGGTGTAGCAGGCGACGACGCAACCATTCGACGCATAACATCTGTTCGTCCACTTCTAAGTAGGTGTCTCGCACTATCAACACTCGAAGATTGGTCATGGCGTTCAAAAGATCAAGTATACATGTTCGACTTTCAACATCGATCGAAAGCATCTCACATTGGATGCACAGCGGTGAACGGCTCAATGCTGCACATTCTTCATTGTTGAATTTGTACTGATGTTTTTTAAATTCGAGTCGTTCAACAGAAACGCTCGTAACATCGAATGGTGCTCTGGATGAAAAATTCGACAGCCAATTATTGAAGCGTAACGAATGGAGACGCGTTGCTCGATCAAGGATAAGTTGCAGTTGAGACTGACAAGTTTCATGATTGCTCTTAAAGGATACATTGAGTGAAGTCAACTTATCAAACTTTGGTATGATTGCCCAAAATTGATCATCAACAGGGAGTGTAATATCCAGTTGTTCAACGTTAGAAAAGTGAAAGTCAGACAGAGCCGACTTTTCGGATAAAATAGACTTGTACCGAACGAAGCGTACTCAATCATACGACGAATAATTTTCACCACGAGGATGAGTCGATTTAGATATGAGAGGAAAATCAGAACAAAAATAGTCGAAAGCATACGGCAAAGTACACAACTTAATCTCGTTACCGTCTAGATTCCAATGGCATCGAACAAACCAACAGTGTTCCTCGAGCCAAAATCGATTTCGAAATGAGTCGAGTAGTCTATCGACTTCTTGTTCCTTGTTGCTAATTGATTTAATTTCCATGTTGAATTTAAACCGCTTGAGCTTGGGTAAATAATTGCGAATAATATGTTCCCATTGGTGTCCATCGATGCAAGCCTCGTCTTTCATATGAACCGTCAATTGACGTAAATTTGGCATATGTTCTAAAATGTTCTCTATCATGTTTGGCTTCACAGATAAAAAGCACAAGTCCAATGTGATTGCCGACGAAATCGGTGATGAAATGAATCCATAATTCAAAGCATTGAAATACCCCTTATAATATCGAAGATATGGCGTGTATTCGAACAAATAAGGAATTGACCACGCGAGACATTGAACACATGATATTATCAAATATTTGATCGAAAATGAGATTACTGTTGGTAAAGTAAAATGTACTTGATCTGCTATCTTAATGTTCAATGAACAGTAGATTAGCTTGGGTAGACTCCAAATAATGTCAATAGCAGTATCTTCACCTGGTATGATCAAACCAACAGTGACAATCGTCGAGTTTCAAGTGAGTAAGATTAGTTAGATGACAGCATTCCGATAAAATTTTGTTAATTTTCTTGATAGAAATAAAGTGTTGCAGTGAAAGTGATCGTAAGCCAGTGAATTGACGAAGAGCGAAACCATGTTCAAGGAAATAATGTGCTTGCTCTGGCGTGTCGTAGGCTTCTGATAGATGAAGTGAAGTAACTTGACCGACAATCAACGGAAGATGATGCCGACAGATTGTGTCAAAGTCATGTTGTGATATTGATCGAAAGTCAAGGCCATGGATTCGAAAATGTTCCAGGAGAAGAGTGTCAAAGCGACGATTGAGTCCATAAAATGCACGAAACAAGTGGGCAGTAGATAGAAACTCTAAAATACCGAATAACAGTTCGTCGGGCAACGTTTCCAAATCCATATTATATTTTATTGCACACTTTTTATGCAATGCACGGTGACATTAAAACATTTTGTATGCATAGGTATCCTAAGTTAGTCATGACAATTTGGAAAAAGTCAATTTCGAAGAAAATATTTTTCATATTTCTCATTCGATCATATCTTGTGCAATTCAATGTATCCCTTGCACACTGTTTTTATTTTTTCCCTTCTATTCCGACGACAACGTCACAATACAAAAGCAACACAAAACGTGCGTTTTCGCCATTTCTACCGATATGTAGTCTTGTATCTAATTTTGATTTCTATGTCCACAGTGGCGTTTCACCATTTATACGGACACGGAGTCAATTGTGTGACTAATTGTAGAACAACACACTCAGACTATAATGATGTCGCTTCTAACTTGGGTGCGGGCGTGGGTGTAGTTACAGAAAATACATCCACACCCTCAAGTTCGAGCTCGGTATGTGTCTAGATCAGTTATTTTCATAAGAAATTTTACTTCTATATGCTCATTGAGGACTAAATATCTAGACAATAATACAGAAATATCATATTTATCAATAGAAAAGTCGAATAAATATTAAAATAAATTTGCCTATCATCATTGTATATAAATCACAAATATTGGTACTCATTAAAACTAAGAATTAGTTTACTGACGATAGTAGTGACGGTTAAGGAAATAAATATAGTTTATAATAGTCATAAATAAAATGAAAACTTACGAGAATCACGACAAAAAACAGATCCAAAATCAAGTCATGTAACATATCTCAAATAAAAATCAGTCAATTGAGTGTGTCCCACATCCAATGATACTCATAAAAAAATCGAATATTCTAATTGACTAAGAGGTTTCTGTCGTCCTAAAGATAAGTAAATATCTTATGTAGTTAAATTTGTAAACTTCACTAAGCAATTCTTGTGATAAAATCATTATTATTAAACAAACATTTCGTAAAGAGCAATGATTAATAAATTTTCAATCATTTCTCAATCGTCTAGAGATTTATGATAATAGAAAAAACCAAATACTAATTTTTTGTTTTCGGAAACTTCTAGTTTATGATAATCTTGAATTTACTCTCAATTTTGGTGTTATGCTAATTTTATTAAAATAGATAAGTAACATCTTCTATCTTTATCTTTGATTTCATAAAATGATTGCACTGAACGTATTTGATCATATAAAAACTACAAAATTCTTATCCATATTAAATTTAGTCGAATTTATATGAGGATATATTATATCAAATTGTTTAATAAATAAATAAATTGATGGAGATAAATCCATCTTGATATATTTAACATGTTCCCAATCAAAAACAAATCGGATAATCTCTTAAATATAATAAAAATAAAAATTGAGGGTGTGGGTGTGTATGCAATCTTTTAACCAGAGCCTACACCCACACCCTCAATTTTATACGAGTTTGTTTTACTGATTTTTAATATTTTTCGAGCACGTCATTCACCATAATGAAGTAATTAAAAGCAAATATATCAACATTCTTTTCAAAAATTAATCTTTACGTATACTTCTATATACCTTTCTAACACAGTCAATTTATTAGTTAAATGATGTTTACTATTTGGCTGTGTTTTTCCTCTTGATCTTTTGTTTTCATCATAACTTGTGTGTATACTATCGCAAATGAAACAATCCCTTACAATAAAACATGTGCACAAATTAACATGCTTTCGATGATTCGCATTTAAAAAAAAGGTTGAATACGAAAGAAATTTGTGAAACAGTATCGAAAGTAAAAACACCCACACCCTACAAAAATCGACTTTCGATTCTGATTCCACATTCTCAATTTCCTTTAGTCACATTTTTCACATATTTAACCGTTTTTTCCATGTGTTGGTGTCGAACCAATCATTTTGAATCGAACATACAATTATCAGCAAACACAATTTATTTTTGTTGAACTTTTCGCGAGGAAAAAGAGAACAATTGCATATAAACAAAAGATGCTTCTCCAGACATAATATGGGTGAGGAGGAATGACCGCTACATTTCATTGCTCTGTATAACTTATATTTTCGTCAATGTCGCTGACCTTGACGATAAGTGACCGTTTTTTTTCTTGTGTTCTGTTCGTACTATCTGAGAATTCATTTGTGGAGAATATAAGCTTCAAACAGACTATTCGATGGTGAACTAGCTCGATAAATATCACTAGAGAGACGATACCAGTAACATTACTTTCTCAATTCATCGTATGAATCAACGATAATCTTATATTTATTACTAAAACTAAACCAGGCATTCATTCAGTTGACAGTAGATGTCGTTTCTATCGTTCTGTTTTCTCAATTATAGAGCGATGCTTAGTTTTCGTTCTTTCGACAAAAGAAAAAAGCAACAAGTGATGATGATGTATTCTTATCTCTAACTAATCGGATTTCTCTAGATTATAACTGCATGAATCACTTAAATTAGATTCATAAAATGAGCTGAATGAATTGAATTTAAAAATATTTGATAAGGCGTTATGTCAGGACATATCTGTCCTGCCATAAGTATGTTCTCTCTTTTTCTCTCGGTTTCATTCTATCACGTTTACAATCATTCCATTCTTCTCGTATCTATTCTATTTAAGTGAGTGTTAACGTTTAAACAAGGGGGATTATTTCTGGTGAAAATATAACAATAAGAAGAGGACGAAATAAAGAAGAAGATTGTAACATAAGATTTACAGAATTTCTGAGACAGTGATCGATGTTTTTTTCTTCTTCTAGATAGTGTGAAATTTTCTAAAAGGGATATGAATCAATTCAATCGATCTCGAAACGAGAAAATCAACAATCCACAATGTAACTTTAAACGAAAAAAGTAAGTTATTAAAAGAAATATTTCTTTTTTTGAGATTAATTTTCATTTATAGAAAATCAACAACGACTATTGAAAATTTGTCCAATGAATTCTTTGGTAAAGTATTTGGTTATCTCGATGGTTGTGACATATATCTTGCATTTGCTAATCTTAACCATCGTTTTCAACAAATGCTCAATTCTCCATTGGTTTTATTTAAAATTAACTTGGATAATTGGTTATCAAAAGAAATATTGATAGATATTTACCAGCAAATGATAACCTTTAATAAACATCAAATATTTTCAATTCATTCTTCAACATCATTATCAATGAATCGATTTTGTTCATCGTTATCTTTCGATTCATCCTTTAATCGTCTTGAATCACTTGTTCTTTGCGAATCTCAACCAGATATATTTATTTCACTTTTGAATACGTTATCTTCTTTACCTTGTTTATATTCATTAACGTTGAAGATGCTCAAAAGTTCAACAAATCTAGCTGATGTGTATGGAATAACTCTAAAACTTCCAATGTTGAAGTATCACAACGTGTTAACAAATCCGTCGGATTCAATAGTTACATTACCTGTTAATACTGATCAACAACGGTTTAGTTCTATTACACATCTTGTCATTGAAAATCATTGTAGTTTTAATGATGTTCTGAGAATAATCTCGTATACACCACAACTTTACCGTCTAGATTATACAAATACCAACTCTATCGATAGAAATATTGAAATAAATTTGCCAATTAAATTATCAAATTTAAAATATCTTTTTGTACGTGTCTATGGCACAAAGTTTGATATAGTTGAAATGTTTCTTAGCAAAATTAGTACGAAATTAAAAGTTTTATCATTTACTACTCGACATGAAGATATTACCTATCTCGATGCTAATCGATGGAAGGAAATTATTTCGAAATATTTCTTGCAATTAGAAAAGTTTTATCTAAAATATTACGCAAGTCGTGGAAATGGTTCACAAACTCAACTTTATCGTGGTACTGCAAATCAATTTGCATTGCCATTTTGGATTAAACGGCAATGGATATTTGAAGTTCAACGAGATTTGGAATTTATCATATATTCGGTTCAACCATACAAGTATTTGAAAACATCTTTTTTTAATGAGAAAATAAATTATTTTGTTTTTCGTAGAGAACGATGGGATGAACTTATTCTAGATCAGTCTGACGCTCTTTGTTCCGGACTTTCTAAATTGACTTTTACGAATATGCACGCAAATGAGTGGCGAAATATTATTAATATTGACATTAAACGTATTTTATCCCTAACACAAATTTATCATCTGATCATTTCTGTGGAAAATATTTTTGTTGGTGTATTAATTCCAATCTTAAACTCTTTGCCAAAACTACACTCATTAAAACTTCATTCTTTATCATTCGGTGATCCACCAGGCATGAATCCTAAAGATTACAAGAGTTTTTTTTCAATAAGACCTACAAGTAAAATTGTCAAAGCCTATCTCGAGAAAATGAATCAAAGGAAAGACATGTTTTTTCTAAGAGTACTTTGTCCTGATATGATATATCTCAAAGTCGACTGGATCGAAGGTGAAAGAAATATGATACCTTTTGCACTAGTTCATTTCGAATAACACTTGTGCTTTTCGTTTTTTTTTTTGTAAATTGATGGTAATCGAGTGTTTGAATTGTCGAAAATGTAAATAACTTTATTCGAAAATAAAAATAAAATATGAAATAAACATTTGTTTTTATTATATGGACAAAATCATTTGTGGCCAAAGTGAATTTACAAAATAAAAACGTGTATGTCATGAGATCATGAATTCTCCAAGAGCTATTTTTTATATGTGACATGTATGTTATGTTACTTTACAATGTCTATAAAAAAATCAATCATACAGACCTTTGTTCAAATAAGTTAGCACTAAAACACTAGCGATAATGATGTGAGTCAAAAAGGAACATCGGCTTTCATTTCATAGATTTGTTTTTAATTGGCGAATTTCCATGGAACATATTGGCGAAAGTCCTATTGGCGAAGTTCCGGCAACCCGAAAAAACGATATGAAATGCAAGGCACAAATAAAAAAGAAGATGAACATCTTGAGGGTATGGCTGTGGGCGCTCGTCTTTTTTACTTCCGCATTCACACCCACACCCACACCCTGTTTTAGAAATATCTTCGAGGTTATCAACATTGTCAAGATCTAAATTGACATTGAAAACGGTTTCTTTTCATTCTTTGATTTGTTGAATAAGCTCCATTTCGATGATTTTCTATCCATTCTGCATTTCTAAAATTCGATAAACATTTTGTAAGTTGATCACAATTAATCTTATCTTCTCGTCAAATTAAAATTTATAAAAGTATTTCAGCATCTCGTCGCTTTATTCATTTATGTATCCAAATCATTTTTGAATGTAGTTAAATATGCTTGAGTAGTTTTGAGTTTAATAGGGTGGTGTGGGGTGTGGGTTTGCCAGTATAAAAGAAGATCCAGACCCACACCATCGAGAAATAGAATGTTACATTAGATTCTACATTACATATTAGCTTATGTGAAAACATGCAACGAATATATTCATGGTTAATATGTCATTATATAACATTTAACACAAAGTGATGCACAAGAACATCATTGGTCTTCGTTTTGACTATCCTTGTGGTGAGTATTTTCACGAAGACAGTTACTACTATCTTTAAACAACCAACGTTGACATTGTGACCATTGCTTCTTCAAATGTTCATCAAACTTTGGTAATAAGCCATACATGTCATGCTTGAAACTTCAACTTTCAAGTTTCAACGTTCACCAAATGCGATTTTGACTACGCTATATCTGAAGAACGGTTTATTCAATCGAGCTGGAATTTTCTTTAGATTTATATACCAGCGAGGTCTACATACTCAATAAATATCAACTCCAACGATTGAATTCTTGGTACTGCACGGATCGCACGAATGGAGGGAAAATCGCTTTTTACTGAATCTTTGGCAGTTCATATCTCCTGACTGAAAAACGTCTTGAAAAGACATTACTATATTGCTAGTTTCAGCGCGTTTAAGCAAAGTTTTCAGTCTCAGCACTTTGGACAAAAATCAATTTCCTCCCTAGAACCTCGATTTGCGCGTTGATATTCTAGATTCGCGATACTCGCATTTCTTCCCAAGTCATCTTGCCTGAGATATCTAACCATGTTTTCTATATTTGTAATCTTGATTCAGCTGACACTTTCAGACAGCTTCATGCACAAACGCAAATGTACCCCATTACCCCGAACGTGCGGGTGAGGAAAGATGACCGCACTCGTCTGCACATGCACAACATCTCAAGTGTGGATGCGAGCAAAGGCATATAATATGTCATACTTGAACCTTGAATTCGAGTATTCCATTATAGTTCAACTTTTCAACTATTCAAGCTTTCAATTATTGAACTATTGTAGTATTGAAGAAAGTAATAATTATAGCCACACTTAGGTAATACCAATTACGAACCGAATAGCAAACTTACTCTTACATGTGTGACGGTTCACCATCAAATCTCATGTAAGAAGGATTCCTCAGGATGCTACTAACTATACATGAAGTGTGATTATGCGGAATGCTCAATGCG